CGCTGCTCGGGCGGGCGACTCCCGTCTGCCGGTTTTCCGGGTCGGATCGGGATTCCGAGAGCTTTCCCCAGGGAGCAGCGGCTCCCTCTGCTCGAATAAAGAGGGCAACGCCCGGTTTCATTTAGTTCCGACAACTTTTCAATAACTTAAAAATAATCCGTTGTCATGAAGGAATTCTACCGCGGCACATTTTTATCGTTTTGAAAGACTGGCAATTGGAGGTGCTTGCACACTTCGAACGAAATTTGTGTGTGTGTGTGTGTGCATGTATATATAATCTAGGCTGAAGTATAAATACCAGTGGACTGTTTTCTCTAAGTTTCTGGACTTGTTGAACAAGCTTTCTTTGTTTGGACACCCCTGTAGAGGAGTGACGGAAACGACTATAGAATTGCCAGCTCCTTCTGTAGCCTAGAACTTCTTGTTCAAGTTTCCTTTCCCTAGTCTCATACACACATACCTGCGTGCCATTTACCCCCTCCCCCCAACAATAGCCCTGTCCTTTCACTTCAGTATCTACAGACTTGCCGGTTGTTATCAGAAAGCACAGTTCTCCCTCATATGACTGCAAAATTATACCACTGAAAGTCATGACGTTCAAAACTCATTAAGATGTTCATATTTTTTCAACGGTGTGGAATCACAAATTTCCTTGAATCTTTAAAAGAGATGACCCTTTACAAAAGAGATGAGAGTTTACACTGCTTAAGTATATGACTAATTACTTTTCAATTCACATTTGTGTGTCAGCAGGGCCCCTCTGGGATGGTGTAAACTTATTCAGCTCCAAATACAGCTCAGAATCCTGCCCTGCTTTTCAGAGGACCGTTTTTCACGTGAAAAGTCTTCTGGATACACAAACTTCCATTCAAACCAGTGTCAGGTTTTCATTGCAAGAAAGTAGCAGCAATTTTTAAGGTAAGAAAGTTTCTGCTTTTATTGAAAATTTATATATGACTCAGTATTGTAATAAATAAACAACCATTTTCACAAAAAAATGACAGTGCTATGCTAGAGAAGAAAATATTAAATGGGGAATTTACTTGTAGTAACAAGACAGACGTTTTATCAATACAGAATAAATATTAACAGCATTCTTGAGCCACTGTTGAGACCCAACAAAAAGTAGGAATCAAGCAAGATGTAATAAATAATTATCCAGAGAAAAAGATGGTGCCTTCTCAGATGATAAGACTGTCTTTGTAAACTGATGCGTGTCAGTTAGTCGCCATTCTCACAGCTCACCTTCAAACCCCGGGGCTTGTCCCTGGCTATGTGAAAGGGCCATCCTCTGAGGAAAGC